CCACTTCTGAACCTGAAGAATCATTGATACAGCTACAGGGCTCATCTGGGAGTTCGCAGGCTACCAGGCAGCTTGCATCAAGTTTCAAGAGAGCATAATGAGTTTATGAACTAGGCAGTACTAGCCCTTCCCTTTCACCTCAGGGTTAATGGGACTATCACTCCGGGGAGAAAAGGAGGAAAACTTGGTGCAGTGCCAAGATTACCAGAAAGCAGTTTTACACCTCATTTGGCTTCTAAATTATGCCATGTGGCTGCTACACTCCAAACAACTGCCTTGCTGAAACAATGCAGGTTTGCATTGCAAGTGTTGAAGAACTAGAGACAGACATTCTTGGTGAAGATCGTCAGGGCTATCCAGCAAGCGCCCAGATAGAATCATAGAATGGTTTGGGTTGGAAGGGAACTTTAAAGGTCATCTAGTCCAACCCCCCCACAATGAGCAGGGACATCTTCAACTAGACCAGGTTGCTCAGAGCCCTGACCAACCTAACCTTGAATGTTTCCAGGGATGAGGCATCCACCACCTCTCTGGGCGATCTGTTCCACTGTTTCACCGCCCCCACAGTAAATAATTTCTTCCTGATATCTAGTCTAAATCTACCCTCTTTTAGTTTAAAACCATTACCCCTTGCCCTATCGCAACAGGCCCTGCTAAAAAGATCAGCTTGGGGTCCAACTGTTGTTAGGACACCCTGTGAAAAAACCCTCACACCAGCAAAGCCTCTTTATCACAGACAAATAAAAGGGGAAGAAGAGAGATAAGAAAGAACTTTCCCAAACTTGTTTTTATACTATAATATAAAAGAGGAAACATATTAAGCATATATTTTGCGAAGTCAAGTTCATGTTACAGATCTAACTCCACCACCACCACCAGAAAGATACAAGAGGGGCAGGATAAAATGTCCCTTGACTGATGCATGTCAAATACACAGTAATTTGAAGATGAGATGTAACAATAATATGCCAGCCAGCTTATTCACAAACATTGCATTTCAGCCTGTCTTCTATGACAGCCTGCTGGGCGAAGCAGTAAGAGTTCAGCAACCATTCATTGCAGCATTTTTTAATGCATGTTGATATAAAACCTCCAACACCTGCAACTACCAGCAAGGAATGATTTTCCAAAATTGATTTCTGATTTTTTTCCCCTATAGTCTCCAGAACTCCCACCCAATTCAACCACATCGAATTCTCCTTCCCAGCTTGCAAAGCTCTTTCCTATTTGTTAAAATATCTATGAGCCATTCACAACAACATTCCTTAAAAGCTAATTCTCTGAGGCAGTCACACAAAAATCCATTGGACATTTCTGGCAGCTGAATGAGACTGGGGGATTTATTATTCCAACGCAAGTGAAGCAGTAACCAAACCTTCATGGTCTTTGTCTTGCACTTTGCTGGAGCTTCCCATTGCTTCTTGGGCAGGGCACAGAGGTAGGGAGAGAAAGTAAACAAAAAAGAGGTTGTGTCCCAGTACAGAAGTCCTTCAGCTGCAGAAAAATGAGATGATGCTGCTGTTCTTTATACAAAGTATGAAGTGTCCAATACAGAATAGATTATCAGAAGGTGGGCTAGGGGGACTTACTCTAACCTGAGTATCCTTTTTTCCTCTCTTCTACTTTCAGTTCATGAGAAACTGACCCAAATAACCACCTGCACACAGCTGAATCCAGCAGCCAGAGGGAGAGACTCAGGTCAGGAGGCAAGGGCTACACACCTGCTTGCCCAAGCAGAGACCTCTGCGAGTTCCCATTCACTATCACAACCCATGAACGCAGCGGCTACCCACGTTCAGAACTACAAAGCCAAGTTTTATTTTTAGCATAGAAAGCTTCAGGAGAAGCTAATGACCTAAACCAGCATTCTTCCATTCTAGACAACCTGGCTTTAGGAACAAAAGCACACAAGAAAGTTTCATGAGCAGCCTATCAACCCTTCTTGAAGTGGAAATGTTCAGAAACCATTACAGCAATGCACCAACACAACAACAGGGAAAAACAAGCATAGCAAATGCCTAACTTCCATTTAGTTTTCAAAGAACAGTTATATAGAAAACACACACACACTTCTATGGCAAATCTAAGGGGTAAAAAACTTGCAATACACCTTCAATTCCAACCTAACAAGGGAAAATAAAACTTCACATTTCACACCCAAAGAGGTTTTGGTTTCACTGTTATTTTGTTTTTTCTTGGGTGTTTTCGGGGTGGGGTTTTTTTGCTTTGCTGTTTTTTTGGGTTTTGGAGAGTTGTTTGTTTGTTTGTTTTACACATACCTCAGGGTAGGCAAATACTTACGGGAATGTAGGGGAGAGAGGGTTTCAATTTGGAAAAGTTGCTGAGACTTGACCAGTGAAACAAATCATACCCCCTGCAAACCGTAAAAAACCCAAACTTGTTCAGAAGACTGATCCATGAAGTCTTGTTCTGAAACATCATGACCTGGATCCAGTCTGGAACACCAAATGCAGGTGATAATGATTAACAACAGTGCAAAAAAATTCTTAGAGCAGCCTTAAGAGTGAACTCATCAAGAATGATCTGAGGCTGGATGCAGTCATGGCATGCTTGTGACTCTGTGAGCCTTTACTTAACTCTGGGAAGGAAACCCTACTCTCAGGATTAAAAGTTTCCATGAAACATCTGCTGAAAAATTACTCTCTGACAGTTTGACTTAGTATGAAATGACACACATTCTGATGAGCTTTAACAATTGCCATCTTCTCTAGATGAAATCCAGGGGATTAAAAAAAAAAAAAAATCTTATTTCTGTAATACACTGAACATTGACATACTAGAAGGAACTATCAGAAAAAAATCCCACCAGTGTTCCCTCCTACGTCAGACCTTTTCATAAATAAATAATAAATAATCTGAAAGGAGAGCAGGGAGATTAAGAAAATAAACTTTCCACACATTCTATAAACGATTATCATTTGGTTTTTGCTCTGTTATGTTTTTTAAGCAAATGCCAAGTTCAATATTTACTTCGACAGAGCCTGCACACAAAACGACGTCTCCCATATGGCAGACTTCACTTGCACAGCAGACCAGGATTAATGCAACTTGGATGACCATGTCAAGGAGAACAAGACTGTCCAGAAAGAATAGCACAATCCAGTACTTTCAAAACATAATCATTATAGCTCAACAGGGATAACGCAGAAGACTCTTCGCAGCTAAATACAGCAACACTGAGCTGCAAACAGCTTTGAGGGCTGACAAAACCACTCAGATAAAACAAATTTTACTGCACAGCAAGGACAGTTAGATTTTATGTGTAAACAATAAACAGATAAAATTCACGTTTTGGGGCAGGTAGAGAATGGAGACTGGCAAAAGAAAAAAACTACACTGACATCCATGACTGATGCAAGTGGAAACAGTAATATGTTTAATGAAGGATTTTTACCATACAAAAGCAAAGGAACAAATACTATTTTGAACAATGATTTGAATTTAGAGCAAACTCACAAAAGAAGTAGTCACAAATGTTTACAACTCTGACACTCTGAATTAAATGAACGTTTCCTAGTTGGATTTGTACCATCCCCCCAAAGGCCCCTGCGAAGATACCTGTATCATCTGACTCATCGTTCCTCTTCCCATGCTACAATGACTGATCGCCAGCATACCAAAACAGTAGTAGATGCTAATTCTTAGTAATAGCATTTCGCATTATCTACATGTCCCTTTACTGTGGGTTCGAAGACTTAGAGCAATATTTCTTAGTATTTCATTGGTAACTTTCTTTGTATCAGACACTTTTTTGCCACCTAAGTTATACCTCTCAAGATGAAAAGTATGTGGGGAAGAGGAAGCGTGTAGCAAAGCCTAACAGCATTATCATCTAGACAAAGCAAATTTAAGAAAAATGAGTGGCTAATTTCTCTCTATCCAATTCCTGTAACTCAAGTTACATATTATTTTAAACTTTCCTGTCTCAGCCCCTACATAAGTTTCCACAACATAAAGGAACTTGTAAAGCTTTTTAGGATATCTTATTTCAAAGAAGGGAATCAGGTTCCCTTCACAGGTTCCCAGGTCTACACAATGTGTTCCCATAAATGTGCTTTTAGTTAGTGAGGTCTGTAATGCACGATTCTGATTTTACAGCCATGTCTCATTTGACTTTTGCATATGGCTCCTTAAGGTATTTGTAGTATTTCTCCACTAAGTTTCTCATCTCCTTCTTCCCTTTTTTTCCCTTTCCTGTCATCCTTTCCCAAGTGGATAATACACTTTGTTTTGTCCTCAATTTAGCTTCTTAATACCTTAGTTGCATCCTATTATCTTCTTTAAAGTTGATTCATCTTTCACACCCTTTAAAAGCAATCTCTTAAGCATGAAGTCTTGTGGGAGAAAAAGTCACATGGTATCTGAAAGCAAGTACTTTATTAATTATTAAAATAAATAAATTTGAATTATTTACATCAATTGAAGTCCTGCCCTCTGATTTTTTGGCTTTGAAATCCTATGCTTCTAATGCCGTGACCTTATTCTCTGGACACAATAAATAAGCAAATTCTTAAGATGCAGCAATCAATAGAAGCCAAACACAGCCCCTTCACTAGGCAGAGAAGCTTTAGCATTTTCCCAGTAAGATGTAACTGCTGTAAAAAATTTGGTGGTATACAGAGTTCTGCTTTAGTATGACACACGGTATCGTTTTCTGAGAGCACTGATGTCAATCAGTCACCCCACTCCATTATTGCAAGTCTTCCAGGTAATGACACACAAGTAAGAACATCTAGTAATATTTAAAGAATGCAAGTAACTACTCTTCCAAGACAGACTATCCACAGCCGCCCATAGCAGGGACTTTTCAAAGGAAATGTAACTTTGCCTTTGAGCAGCTATAAAAGCCTGTGATGACTAACACAACTGATTTAAGTATTACGATATTAACAAGCCACCACTATACTACACCATGTTCATTAGTGATAAATTTGTGCTATTATCCCAAGAAAGAGACAAGGCAGTGTGTACTTACTCACCCTTACAAGGCTAGGAGCAATACACGAGCAGGGTATCTTGACATGCTTGAAGCACTTTTCATGAGACATGAAGTTGCAAACTGCAGAAATAAAATAAGAACTGTGAGCAAGTCATCACAAACAAGGGAGACTGTAAAAAACAAACAAATAAAAAATCATATGGATTCAAATACAATTAGGAACACATCTTTTTTATCACATTTGCTCTCCCCTAGGTTAGAGAACATACATGACTGTCACAATTCTTGCAGCGCGTGAACTCCAGCTCGTTTTGTCACCAAGATGTTGGCAATGGAAAAGGAAGGAGAGTTTATCCCAATGCATTACAGGCCTACAGCAAGTCATGCCGTCCCACACTCTCTCTATAAGCACCAAAAAAGCTCTTAAATTTCCAAAGAGATTTTAAACAGTCTGAAATCCAAAATAGCTCTTTGATGTAGCCAAAGCAGATGGACACGTTTGAAAGTGAATTATGCTACAAGCTAGTGCATGTGACAGGAATAAATGGGAGAAAACACAGTATTGTTACAGACTGAGCATAATGGATGAAGTAGATGAAATTAAAGGTCACCAGTTGCATGCAGCTTTGAAAGTCAAGAGCAACTAATTATTTCTTTTACTGTGGAAGCAACAGGTTTAGAATTCCTGAATTAGAATTAGAAAACCCGAGCTCCACAAAGCACGCTTTCAAGCAAGACAGTGTTTGAAAAAATTATTTCTCATGGGGGTGATATTTTCCACAGCTTCTTACCACGGATTTACGTGATGTTAAGCTGTGCAAAGAAAATAAAGGATTCTTTATTTCATTCCCACCACCTCACATTAATTAGGAACTAATAAACCATGCAGCTATGGCTTTAGAGGCTTCCTTCTTTCAGAATTACTCTCTACCAGTTCAAGGGTGAAGCCTTACACAGATGCTCAGGCCCTGACCTCTCACGTGGAAGTACAGACCTCTCCCAATGCCTGGGTAGAAGATGACTTGCCAGTGGCAACTGTTGCTGTACAGAGGAGGTATCTGCATGTCCCACGCTACACCACTTCCTAAGCTTCACCAGCAACTGAAAAAAAACCCCATGCGCTTCAAGCTTCCCATCCGCAGGCCATTGCTGTTACTGATTATATGTGGTAGTGCCATCAAAAGCAGACAGTTTTCCTCTCCTCCTCCTCCAGCTCACTGACTTCTGATTTCACAACACCACTTATCCCATGCCAACTCAAGCATTAAAATCCAGGTCCACTTCTCTACGCAGCTTACTGCCAGTCCATGCAAAGTAACCTTTCCTTCTGGTGGCACAAAAAGGATGACACCTTTGACACTGGTGCTCATCTTAATGTGAGCAGTAGGCAGATGTTTGTTTTTCATTAGTCTCCAAGTCAGAAAAAGACACAGCACTGCAAGTCACTACTGCATACAAACATGTTATTCATCATCCATGGTTGAACACGGATTGATTACTGCACCGATGAAAGAAAGTGGGAACGGAGCAGATCCAAACCTGCTGGGTGCTATGAAGTGTTATGTGCATCTTTAAGGTTGACAGCATTCCTGACTAAATGGGGCAGACAAGGGGGCAGTCAACGGAGGGACTGGAAACAGTCAACAGTCCAGTTTCAGACTGGAAACAGTCAACGAAGGGATGATAAAGCAGATTCTCAGAGCTGAAAAAGCAGATGCCCAACACATTTGGAGGTGGTCACTATGGAGGAAGGAGCACACAGCCCATCAGCACAGAGGAGACCGAAGAGAACAAAGTTATTGTCCAGGCAGAGGAAAGATGCATTTCCTGCTCCAGAAAACAGGTACAACCCCACACAGAGAACTGGTGAATTCTTATCACACTTACGTATGTCATCACAACATGGATATAGATGGACATAACCTACTCTCTCCTCAGGTCTCTGCAACATTTCTACTGATGCTTTTAGGAGGGTCAGCTGGTTGCTGAGAGCAGGTCTGCAGAGGCGGCAGGAGAAAAGCTACCTGCCCATTACCAGCTAGTCTGAAATTTACCACATATGCCCTGCCACCGCCAGAAGACATCTGCCCCAGCCATTTGTTTAGGCAGCCTCTTCACTGTCTCTCAGGTTATGCCCGAAGCTCAGCTGAACCTGGCTAGGTGAGAGGGACTGATCTCTGCAGGCAGAAGCATGGTGACAAAGGTTTCCTTGGCTCCAACCCACAAGAGGCAACAATATGAAGCTTCAAATATAAACAGGCAGCTGTCAAGAACTTCATAAAGGGGTGAGAGCTAGTTAAGGAGAAAGTGACATCAGTGACTAATGAAATTCAGTGAAATGGCACTGTTTCCCCTCGTTTTTCTGGTCCAGAGGCGGGCAGGCTAGAAAGGAAAGAACAGAGCAAGGCACTGCAGATTGCTCCCAAAAATTTTATGATCTGCAAAGAAGCAGCAGGCAACTGAAGTCTGCAAGAACAGCATCTCCAAGTGCTACTAGCTTTAAGTGCACACACAGTAACCCAATACACAAGTTAACCAAGCCCTACACAAACACCTCAGGGAATTCAGAGAAAGCAGCTCTGAATCAGCCAATCGAAGTGAGGTATGGGCATGGACCCTGAGAGATGTTCTCCATTTATTCAGACAAGTCACCACACCATACCACCCAAATTTCTCTTTTGCGGTGACAGAAGCAGCAGAACATGGTCCTGCATAACAAGAGCATCTCATGGTTCACCTGAGGAAACATCTCATGGCACAGAAAAATATACTAAAGAAGAATTCAAACTGACAACTTCAGACAAGCAGTAAAATCAAAAGGTGAATGAAGGTTTCAGACAAGGAGTAAAATAAGAAGGTGCATAAAGGTTTTAATTGTTTGACTGAGTGCATATAGAAAAGGCAATACATAAAATAATTAATTTCCTAAAATTTCAAGGGAAAGATTGAAGCATTTGCAAAGAATCAAATTAAGGAATATAAGGAAACAAACAGCAGAAGATCAGCAAGGCCCAGAGATTGTAACATTCTCCATGGAAGATTTTCACGCATTTTTCAGGAGGTACTCACACATCCCTCCTCTGCTTGTCACATGCCTCAAATTCGGCAGGGAGGATGGACTCTGGCTATGTGTCTTTTTCCTGTCCCACAAAATTCCTCAGGGGGTGAGCGAACTCTTACAAGTCACCATTTTGGTTTTGTTTTCCACATTCCCCAAAGAAAGAAAAAAAAAAAAATGGCAGCAAGACAAACTGAAGCATGAACAATATGGGGGGGGGGAATCCTGAATTTGTCTCAGTAGTCCCAGAGAGGCAACACCATTAAGCCTGAAGTTCTGACAGCCAGGATAGGTTTGGTGTTTTTTAAGGGGTGATGTTTCACCAGGGAAAACAAGCCAGAAGACACTGTGTGAAGTTTCAGGAGATGAAATGCAAAATTCAAAGCAATTTCAATTGCAGCACTCAGATACTGTAACCAAAACTGATGGTTTCAGTCAGGCTTGAAAGGCCAGCATGGATGAAGGGAGAGACAAATACTTGAGGTATATTTGAAGAAAACAGAGCCTTCAAACTGGACTTTGAATACAAGGCACCTATATCCAGGTTTAAGCTGCATGAAGCTATACAGCACTGAGGGAAGATGAACAGGTGTGATTTCAAGGGACATTGACAAAATCCACAAAATCATTTACTTGCAGGTTTGCGGGACTTCACATGGTCTCCCTGAGCACCTAACTACATGGTCAGGCATACAGCAGCAACTACATTTGACAACTTTCCCTTGCTCCCTTCCTCTACTCAATAATAAATTACTTCATTCATATAAAAAATTAGATATTCCTAACGCACAGCAAGAAGCCAGGTGGCTATCAGGCACCACAGGACTGCTCCCTGTCCACACTGAGCACGAGACGTGGCTTTACAGCAGTCTCTGCCCATAAGCCTTCACTTCCCAGGGACACTTTCCCTATCACATTTTGTTTGACTTGGTGATTTAATAAAGAAAAAGGTAATGTGTACATACGGCAACACCCAGTGAACATACAGCCAGTAGCTCTCCAACATAACACTTGCAAGAAAACAGAAAACATCTCTCTCCAGCCCTCCCAAGGAAGGCAGGAGATAAAAGCTGGGTATCACTGTAACTCAAGAGCTGTGTAACACTTGCTAGCAAAGCAAGGGCTGGTTACATCCTCCAATATGCCACACTTTTTCCATATAACCCTTGTCCTCTCTGTCCGCAAGATACACGTCAAAGCAGATCCGAAAAGCGGGAAGAAGAAAAAGGTGGATTATGTCCCATACAGACTCTAGCGATGTATCCGTGTCCCATGCAAACAATGGCTGGGTGAAAATCGCTTACAAAATATCAAATTTAACACATAATCTTCTCCCACTTTTGAAAAGATCACCCAGTCCTCAGCAAAATCCTAGAAGGTGTTGAAAATTATTTTTGTCTCCTCTTTGAGGAGATGCCATAATTCAGTTTTGCTGTTTTTCAAACATACATTTATTTGTAAATTTTATTTTAACATGTTAGTCTTTATTTAATTTTTTAACTTTAACAACTGTATTTATAAATCTAATTTTATATTTGCTAAACACTTTTAAAAGTAGAGCTACCAAACTGCTCTCCAAGGAGGATCAAGGAATGTTAACACAAAGACCAAAATGGATTTGATCCTCTCCTGCAAGTGTGATCAGTTTAACACAAGACTCACTGTGGACCTATTCACACATGCGTTCTTAAACCAAGAGCACTTCTCTCATTTCAGTGAGCGCTCGTTTTGAGCTTAACAAAAGCACCTGCAAAGTAAATTGCAATTCCTCCTCCAACCTTCTGTTGTCTGGATTTGTTGTCCTGCCAGTCATCTCCTACTCCTCTGCCTCTCATTCTGACATCTCAATTAACTTGCACCAGTACCACAAGCAGCAGTAATACTCTCTTCTTCTTCCAACAATTCCCTCCTGTTGTCTTCACTGCAGGGTGCCACGACCCATGGGTTCTGCAGGACGTGGTCTGGTACTAACACAGGAGCCATCACTCTTCTTGTTGCCACAGGTCACACTGAGGACTCAAAAAGAGAGAGCTCCTGCACCCAAAGACAGAGGCAAGTTCCTGCAGCCGAGCGCTCTCTCCATGCACACTTTGCATGCACTGGCACACGGCAGACCCACAGCAAACTTCAGTAACTCCCAAGAAACAAGAGTGTTTTGGCCAGCTGCCTGTCACAGAGCCAGCACTGGGAAAATCGCATACCCTGACATGAAGTGACACCACCACAACTCCTCAATATTGTCTGGATGACCTCGCAAACAATAATTTCATTTTGTTCGGCATTATCTGTGAGTGCTGTAACTCACTTGCTTGCATTTTGCTCACTTGCACAAATTTTAACTCCCAGCAAGCGCCCACCAAAGTTTCTTCTAATCTTTTAACAAAGGTTATAGATTACTGAATGACCTAGTTAACTAAAGGGCTTATTCTTAAGATAAACCATTAGCTCAGCCAGGAATGGCCTAGTAACTCAGAATCTTTTTCCCAGCTATCAGTGCACAATAAATTTTTCATTTCTGGAAAAATTTAAGTGCAATGCATTAAAGAACATACTCAGCTCATTAATGTGAATATAAATAAAACTAAATGAAAAGCAGTAATTCTCTGGGACATCTTGTTAGATGTAAAACTTGGAAAAAGTCCCTGTCTTGGAGAGTTTACTGGACTGGATGGCCTGTAGGAGTATTACATAAATGAAAACTCTACAGTCCTCTATAAAAAGTCCTATAAATTTACATACATTACAAGAAAGAATTACAAGGGGGCTATAAAAAAAAAAAAAAAGAAGAGGCCTTCTTGAAGATCTAATACTGCATGAAACTCCTATGGACTCACCAGCAGCTCAGCCACTGCATAGACAGTACGTGCACACTGTGAGTTTATATCATGGCACAGAGGTGGCTTTTGTGCCACTCCTCCCTATTCCTTTCCTAATAATGTATAGTATTGAATTTGCCTTTTTTTGACAATTACACACTGGGCACATATTTCCCTAGATGCATCATTA